TGGATAATTGTTATCAAACAGAGTTTGTGTCAACTTTCTTTCTTCCTCATCAAGTTTGTCTTCAGCGAATATTTGTTGGATTCTACTGAACAGGCACCTTATTAAGGCTCTTTTTTATCGAACAGGGCAGAAACGTAGTAATTAAGATACTGTCCTATCCAGTTAGGTTTTCTATAAATAGATCTTTTTATCGATCCATCAAACCGTCAACTAAGCAATATATTTAGGAAAGATAAATATCTTTCTCTTCTACAGACATAAGTGATATGCTATTCTGAACTTCATTCATTCAATTTAAAATTGAGGTGGCAAAACTTCTAAGTTAGTTTGCTATGGGATTTTATCGATTTACTTGACCTTATTCTCTGCCAATAGGAATATTCCTTCCAAAGTCAGTTTAAGGTCAAAAGAACCTAAGGCTAGATGTTTGTTCGTTGGGTTAGTGAAAAAATCAGTATTCATCTTAAAGGCAGTATAGCCTTGAGTATTATATATGCCTATAATCATTATTTGACAAAAACATATTGCTGAAAAAAGTAAACAAATGGTTCGGTGAAGATGGTCTTTTCAGTAAATTCATCTTCTCTAGATATACAATCGCATTTATATAAAATTTCCCCTAATGAAAGAGGGGAGTAACAAAAGTGATAAGTTATCATAATCACAGTTGTTTAGGTTAATCAATACACAAGAGGCGATGAATGAGTTTATTACAGTTATGTAATAGGATGGATAATCTAATGAATGAGTTGTAATCATGATGCACAGAGAAGTGAATAAAAGGGATACCCACCAAGATTCGCTGACAAGAATATCAAACCGAAAGTTAAGGGAAACAAAACATTACTTGCAGCGCAAAAGAAGCTTCACATGGACTTAGATTTCAATGGGGATTTAACGTACGATATCCTTAAGAGAATTTCATCATCTTTGAAAAGATCTTTCTTCGCAGTAAGGTTAAGAGTAGTGTTCTCCAGTCGTCCATTGGTCTGAGGAAGCCTTGACGACAAAATCTCGCATCTGACTACCTCTATGTGCATATCTCAGTTCACCTGTTCCTGTAGCGCTAGGTGTACTGGTCTTTCAACGTGTGTCTTGTCTAAAAGGGTTCAAGAACGCTATCCTACACGGTTTCAAGAAAGCAGCAGCTCTTTAGGGAGTGCAATGATTGAACTCCCTGACAATAGTGGTCATTCCATGTTAACAAAGCCTCCTTCATAGTAATCTACAAAGTGAAGAACAACCTGCATCTTTTGCACTGCTGAAGCTTTAGCCATTCAGATAGAGAAACCGCAGCTGCATTTACAAAAGAATATTATTCAGCCATTGTGGATAAAAATTTATTTTGATAAAGTCTCACTGTGTTATACAGTAAGATTTACTGAAGAGGTTTCGAGCACTGTTTGGTGCTCATAATCATATCAATATCCATAATGTCTAATTTTATCCTTATATCAGTTATTCTATCACTTCTGTTATTATTGGTAACAACCTTTTTGATTTGGACTGACTTGATTTTGATTTGCTTGTTTTTCTAAATGCTTAAAACTCCTGTATTTTTTCAGAACTCTTAGATAATTCCATATTTTCCTGCGTTTCTATGTGCATCCTGATTACAACTCATTCATTATGACTACCCATCATATTACGTAACTGTAATAAACTCATTCAACTCCTCTTGTGCATTGACTAATCTAAACATCTATGATTATGATAACTTATCACTTGTATATGAATGCGATTGTACATCTAAAGAAGATGAATTTGCTGAAAAGACCATCTTCACTGAACTACGTGTTTTGTCCTCATTAATGTCCAGACGGAAATTATTCAAAAACTTAAAACCGTAGTCGACGGCTTCAGTTGTCATTACCGCAGATTCTCAAAGTGACTAGCAACCTAAAACACTTCATTATATAGTCAGAGAAATGAATATCCCACTGGAAAAGTGTTTTTACTAACTTTTTCTTTACACCTTAGGATAATTCATCAGATAAATTTGCTCTAGCTCCGTCACTTTTTTGAAAAAAAAAGAAACTGAGATAGAAGTTATCATGTATGTGCGCTTTAGCATATGTAGTAGTTGGTCAGGGTTAGGAAATCTAATGATTTTTCTGTTTTCGGAAACCCTGATGTTTCGAGCGACGGGTGTTCGATGGAAAACGATAAGTTGAAGAAGATACAGAAAAAGATGCGATGATCCTGAACGGGACTGTTCAGTATTAATAACTCATAGTCTTTCGATAACATGTACTGGTCACAATCGTATCTAAATAATCAAGTGACTTCCTCATGTCGTTTATAAAGTTCATTATATCACACTATGATTTCAGTAGTAGTATATTTTATACACTATGTATCTGGTGAAGCGTCATGCTTATATGGTGACTCGATAAGCAGAGATCCAGTGATTCAATTCCTCCGCCACCTAATTATCTTAGGCTTTAAAGTTGTGACAGAGTTAGAGAACAGATATCCAAGGAGGTAACGAAAGGAGCCATGGCGTCCCAACGGTTAAGTGAACAGCCATGGCTAGTTTGGGTGAAAGAAGGGAAGTAGATTTAAGCGGCTATAATCAAATCATCCTATGTAATATTCTTCTCCATTTTCGGCAATTCTTTGCAAGTATTGTGTTTCATACCCAATTTCACTACCCTGATCTGATTGCAGATTAGAAAGTCATTAGTGTGTTCGTTTCCTTGGATTGGCATTCTTTAATATACCCAAAGTGGTAACATGCTTAACTCTATTTCAATACACAAGAGTGCTCGAAATATGCAGCTATATTCTTATTAGACGTCATTCCTTTCTGATAAATTGAAAGTACTGGTTTTGTAGGAATTATGTTTGATTGGAGGGAGGATTTCATCATGACCTGACATCAGTTAGAGATCCACTGGAAAACCTAGGAGTACTGAACAGCTGTTTCGTTCTGGTTTGGGACTCTTTACAGTACTCTCCCAACACAGGGGTTCGAACTCAGGACCTTCTGGTTACAAGGCGACCTCGGGTCCCAGTGGCTCAATGGTCTACGAGGTTGCCTTGTAACCAGAAGGTCCTAGGTCTGAACCCTTGTGGTGGATGCGTACTGATGAAGAGTCACAAAACAGAACGAAACAGCCGTCCAATACTCCTAGGTTTTCCAGTGGTTCTCTAACTGATGTCAGCTCATGATGAAATCTTACATGCAAACAAATTGAAAGTAATCATTTTCCTTCTTCCATATGGAAACTGTATGTAGCTAAATCTCACTGATATTCTGTAGTTTTTATTTCTACTAATAGTTAGCACACGAAGCATTCAGAAAACACTTTTATGACATATTATCACGGAGTGGGACCATATTTGTGTAACTTAGGCTGAAGTCCACAATCTTTCGGTGGGGAAGATGAGTAAATTATTTCCTATTCGTTTGTATTTGAAATACTGGATTCATTGTTTCTCAGAAATCGCATTTAAACCAGCTTTAGTTTACAATCATAGAGTAATTGACAATACTCTTGAGCAATACAACATACAATCGTATATGAGTATTTAATTATATCAAAAATAATTCAAGATAATACAAGAATTAGTTCATAGTTTTCTGCTCATATTAGCTCGGAAAATATATGATTAACTCGAAGTGTCTCCACCATCTTTGAAATTATCCTGAAGAAACATAATATAAACGGCTGTGTGCTGGATTACTAATATATGTTCAGTAATAAAATCTACTACATTTCTACACTTGATAACTATCTTATAATGAAGTTTTTGCCTTAATAGTAATTAGAAAGTATGCTCTTTTCAGTTGCATTGAATTATTCTCTCACTATCAACGGGTAAAATTTGAAAGAGGTCACTTTCTCACTTAGCTAGGCAGCATCGTTTCAACTGAAAGCACACAGCACGGATGAGGATTTCAAAGCCACGATTAGAAAGTCAATGGAGACTTTCATTAGACTATAATCAGTCTGAAAATTTTCTGCACTCAGTGTAAACAACGACCTCGGATTTCCAACACTAATGTTAAACCGGTTATTCTATAGATTTCAAAAACTTGGTGCGGCACGAAAAGCATTTCCAACAGACTGCAAACTTTTTTCAATAGCTGCTTTCGCTCCATACTGAAGACCACATGGCGCAAACAGAAAGAATTACCAATAAGAAACTTTGACAATGAGTCAATCATGAACATGTTACTCAAAAAATGGAGATGGATCAGACATATGCTTAGGAGACCGCTGAGAGACACCACGCCCCAGGCAGACCCTCGAGTGGAACGCAAACAGAAAGCAATGAGTTAGGCATGAGTTTGATGATGACATGGATAAGATCGTGTGAATAGGAGATGACAGCTTATGGGTAGTCATACGGCCAGCTAAAGAGGAATTTAGAGAACAGGATGAAACGGATGTACATTGAGTAGACAAGCAAATATCATATTAAGTGCGCTAGAATTATCTTCAGTTTTAAACAAGCAGTTAACACCGACTAGAATGAGAAAAAATCAAGTACACTTATCTAATACATAAAATCAGCATAGTGTAAGCGATGATTTAACTGGTCCTTAGGTAAAAATTAGATTTTAGCATTATTTATGAGATTATTGTAATTAAGATAATGGTTATTGAACTTAGAGTTATCTTAAACTGTGGCTAGATTCGCGCATTTTATATCCAACTAATCTCTATTGTGACTCACCTACCGATTAAATTTTTAGTTTACCTCGAAACTGTGTTTTGTATTGTTGGATACTCTTTACTGAAACCCCAAGAGTTTATTTATTTATTCGCGTTGTCCTCTACTGGACTGACTGACTGACTGACTAAACCCGACGAACTCTGAAATGGCATAAACTTTTCGTTAATACGTGTCTGAATCCTGTACCGTCTGCCACTTAGCATGTGATATAAAAACTGCAACAACAGCCCCATCCAGATACAAACAAAAACTGTGTAAGAATACATTGTGCACTAAAGTAATGGAAAATTATGAAACAGTCAGTGAAATAATTGGAGGATACAAATAATTGCCCAAAGAAGGCAGCTTTTATTATAGTTAAGAAAAGCAATGTCAGTGACACAGAGATATAAGTTTTTAAATGACACTTCTCTTTCCAATCACCGATTCCTTCTAACCTGCTGATGGCATTACTTTAAGATGTTCAAATGCAGCTTTTTCTAAAGATTCTCTAGAAAATGTAAATAAAAAACATACAATAGTTAAAGTCGTTAGTGCAATAGATAACACTTTTAAAAATTATTCTCTTTCAGTTGGTTTAATAAAAATAATTGACTGATGGTTTCATTTTACAGGTGAAAATAAAAAGAGGCTTATTGGTTGTTCACTAAACTTCTTGGGATACAGTGAAACATGTGAAGGATATTAAATCCATATATGTACTACTCAAGATGAGCAGTATTTCGCATAGAATGGCATTATATCAAAAACAAAAGATGGTAATTTAATGGCACAGTTTGTTAGTTTATGTGAATGCGGACTAGTGTATATGAGTGTGGTGCTTTCGTCTATCATATTTTTAGCGTTAGAATTGATGAAATGAGAGTAAAAGTGCTGCTGATGTATAATTAGGTTACAAAACAACCTTCATACTTGACGATTAATAATAGCAATCTATGTGTATTTACTCCTTTACCTGCTCTTGTGGAGCTGTTTATATTGGACGTTGTAAGCGTAATCTCCGAAAACGTGTAGCTGAACACTATGCAGTCTGGTTAATGAAAGGCGAACATAGAACTACAAAGTCGTCTATTTGTGATCACCTGTTAGAGTCAGGTCATTTAGCCCCACGTGATTCATCTTTCAAAGTTATCTACATGGCGAAATCGAATCGATCCAAAAGTTTACGTTTTCTTCACTTATGCGTAGCCGAAGCTTTAGCTATACATGAACAGAAACCTAAATTATGTGTTCAAAAACGTCTTGTCAAACCCCTTTCTTTACCTTGGTCACAGTAATGTTCTTTCTAGTTTTTACTTTATTTTATTTTACCACTTGAATGCTTTCCACTTCACTTCACATCTTCATTCTTATCGTAATCGTTCTCCTAATTTTTAAAATTTTTAGACAACACTTGACATTTTTAAAACATTTTTGATTTCAATTCATTTATAAAACAATCTTTAATAATTTTGTAATTTATCCACTTCAACTCTATTCCTTATAACATTTTAATTATCGTTATTCTTATCACTTATATATGTATATTGACTGAGCAATTATTTAGTGCCACCTTATAACCTTTTTTCTGTAATATAAATACGACTGTACAGCTTGAAAATGAAGTTGTTGAAAAGAAATTTACTCGCTGAACAAAAAACTGTGTTTTTACTTATGAATATTGATTGTTACAATCCTAAACGAACACCTAGACACTGAATTTTTGACTTTATCCAAGACAACTGTCAGAGCAATGCTGAGTCTTTTAAGTATCATGTCAAGTTCAGACATATTGTGTCAGTGAGATTATTACGTCAGTTGTACCAACACTACGTCATTTCAGTTTTTATATTTTCTTCCTTAGGTCTTCATGATGAAATAAGAAACCTTTATGCTTTTAAGGATCATCCGGTACTACTCTAAGCAAACTTAAGATCAAAGTGTAAGTCTAGACTTTGAAGTAAACCATAAACTGCTTACATAACTGAAAATCCCGTTGATCCACAGATGTTTTGATGACAGCTACCCCTATATTTTCGAGAGTTAATTCGTGGGGACTTGATTTATTTCAAGTTTGATCAGGGATTGGTATCAAGTAGAGAACCATCAAAAGCCAGGAAGTACTGAACATCCGTTTCGTCCTAGGTTGAGACTGTCTAGCAGTGCACAACCACCAGGGTTCGAATTCAGGACGTGATGGTTATATTGCAAGCTTTTAGACCATTCATCTACTAGGACACTGGTTCAATGGTTCATGAACTTCAACTTCTACCTATTCGTGACTTTAGTGCGACCACCAGCCAATGTCATAGATGGTTATTTGTCCTCACACCTAACCTAGTAAACCCTAGCGGTCAAGACTTTTCACTAAAACTTCAAGCAACTCCCTCCTTTAGCCGATCGCTAGCTAGTCTTGAATGCAATCAGATAAATACCTACGCATAATTTGCCTGTTCAGTGTATCAAGATATTCCTCAGCTAGTTCTGTCGAAATAATTCATCTGGTTTCTAATCTTACTTTATTGAATTTCAGAGTATTTGCCTTTAGAAATATGGCTGTTTAGATTTACGCTCGGAGTTCTATACTTTTTCCGGATTGTATAATAAATTAGAGCCTTGAAAGTGTCATTAATATTATATGTTGGAATAATAATACAGTATTACTGTGTGTTGTATCAAATCAACCTAACTAATATATGCTAGATTGACTTAACACCTAGGAAACTGTGAAAATGGTCCCTTTGTTTGTATGTATTCATCAGCAAGGTATATATAAGATCTGTGGGAGACTGAATTTCCCTATGTGAGTCAAATGTGATAGTTTCATTACCATTAATATGTTCCAAAACTTTGTGAATTTTATTAGTATGTAATTTCAAGTATGGCTCTAGTGGAGTATCTGTTACTACAGCATTATCTCCACTCTAATACACTCAATTTGAATGCAAACAAATAATCGAAAAAATAAACTACCTGTGATTTGGATGTGCGATTTGAATTAGAGCATGGGCACGTTGCCTCAAGCATCGTCCAAACAAAGAGGCAATTCCGTATTCTGTTACAATATAATGAGCATGAGCTCTGGTCGTCACGACACCAGCACCTTCTTTAATATACGAGGAGATTTTACTTTCTCCCTTATGTGTTGTAGATGTCAGGGCAATTATAGGCTTTCCCAAGCCATCCTCGGCTAGTGCAGCTCCACGAATGAAATCAACTTGACCACCGAATCCTGTAGATGGGATAAATCAAAAATAAGACCAAAGGAGACACCTAAAAGACACGGTATCAATAATAAACTGAATTTGTGCTTATGGAGTTAATGACTGAGTGTGTACACACCTTGGAAATTACACTGTAACCGAGAAAATGAAAAATCTAATGAAGACAAAAGGTATTATTCCGAAAAATTTGCCACGCGATTTGTGTCAGTAAGGTCACATAAGCCGTAATTTGTTACACAGATTACAAGTCATGATATGATTGCCACAAAACTTGATTAAAGCCCTGGTGTGTCAGTCGACCGACAAAGAATTTCCCCACCTAATGCGTACTGCTATATCAATACTTGATTCTTAAGTTTCTTGAAACGGTTTACGAAAATTGACTTATTCTACATTGATTATCAGTTGTAAGTGGCTAGTGATGATTCAAATGAACTGTCGTCAAGATTTGACCGAATAGTTCTAAAATATTTGGACGCCGAGTGAGAAGTAGACATTTGTAAAAAATTATATTTGTAATATCTCAGCGATATTGAAATGAGTAATTCCAATTTTGTTTATTATACTTGTTAATACTTGTGTTTATGAATCATGATTGGACAAAGTTTTTAAAAACAAAAAGATGTGCCTTTTATATATAAAACCTCTGTTATGTTAATTTTGATTAATTTCCCTGAAGAAGTTCGGACCAGATTGCCGAACGAAACGTTGGAATTACTCATTTCAATATCGCTGAGATATTACAAATATAATTTTTTACAAATGGCTAGTGATTACTTGTGAATAGGATAAGTTGGTATCGTCAGACAATTGTGCGGGTAAAGTAGTGTGAATTTACTTAGGATGCAACACCACTTCAATCAGAAAATCACGGTTAGTTTAATCCAAAAATTATTGATTTTGATATATGTACAGGAAAACACTTTTCCGCAATGCACAAACATGACATTCTCCCTACAGTCTGCAAAAACAATTAAACTAAACGAGTATTTCTCATGATACCTAGTTTCTCGTTCTACTTGCATCGTTGTTTATGTTGAAACCATACATCATTATCATTATGTCACAACACTTTGTTGTTAATGCGTTTTCGGCAGTGTTTCAACTGATGCGAATTCCACCCAAATACAGATGATCAATCGGACGGAGTATACAGAGAATATATATTCCTGAATTCCAGTATAAAGCTCAAGATGATTTCTAATGGCGGAAGAGCTCAGCTATTTGTTGATATTGATGAATTCCTCATTTCATTCGACTGACTGTACTTTAATTTGCAATTCAGATTAATCTGCACCCAATGCGGATTTCTATGGATATTCTCCTAAAGAAGATATCGTCATCACAGTAACCAATAACAGTGATTAGAAATGATGGAAAAATTACGATCTCGCCTCGTTTAAATCTTTAAAGTGTACAGTATTCAGTTAATTAAAATAGATGGTTAGTAGTAGTTCATAAATGAACTTGACTGGAATTAATTTTCAAAAGAAAAATATGGATAACGAATTATAAACTTGAACTAACCTGAGTAAATTCTTATACCGATAGAATCTGAAACAATCTGACCAGTTAGGTCAACTTCAATGCAAGAATTGATTGCAACTGGTTTGGGATTCCTAGCTATTGTAGATGGTTTGTTCACCCAGGCAACATCACAGAAGTCTATAGGAATGAAATAAAGTGGAATTGAGGGCATCAAACGGTGATCGGCACAATTTGTTTACACATATGAACATCGGTTATTATTATTATTATTATCTTATACTATTATTCCCTTAGGTTCCGAGAAGAACAATGGGCTTCAATAGCTCATCGCCATTTCACCCTGTTCTTTGTAGCCACACGTAGTCAGCTCCATGATTCCCTACAAGCTTTCATTTCCTCCTAACACGATCTCATCTATGTCACTCTCTAACTCATTCGGAACTCGTCGCTTCCCATTAGGACTCCACTCCAGGATCTGCCTGTAACTTAATTTCATTGAAGTGTCTCTTCGGCGTGTGTTCAACACATATTCATCTCCTTCGGCATTATATCTTGGGTGATGGATTACTAAATTATACATTGTATTAACATCATTTCAACAAAACAAATTTTTAAAAACATTCTGCATGTCTTTCAGTTAGTTTAAGTCAATTAAAAAGTAAGTAGATTATGTACCCAACTTTTTTTGGACTATTATTATATTATTATTACTATAAATGTCTCCTTTAGTTCCTAGAGGCATATCGCATTCGGTTCTCTGTCAACGTTTTGACCTGGCTCCACGTCTGCCCACATGCTTTCATCTCCTTTTCAAATGAACTCCTCCCTGTAATTCTCGCACTGACGACCGATTCACCACTTCCATTCGGGTTCCACTCGAGCGATGGCCTGTTGTGTGATGTCACCTGATGATTTACTAAGAGTATGGCTAATCCACCTCCATTTCTTCCCGCATATTTGTTTCACAATCAGTCCCTGGTTGGTTCGCTCCTAGAGATCCCTCACTATTGCTGATCTCTTCTGGTCGGTCATCTGATTTTGAGTATTAAGCGAAGACAGCTGTTGATGAAGGTCTGTAGTTTTTTGAGGTGCTGTTCATGACGCGCCAAGTTTCTGATCCGTATAGTAGCACTGACTTCACATTGGAGTTGAAAATCCGGATATTACTTTTCATGCTGATTAGTGCTGTTGATCTCCATACAGACCAGAGAGTAATGAAAGCTTGCCTAGCTTTCCCTATCCTCGCTTTGATGATATCCTCATCAGTTCCTAACGCCTGTAGTTGAAACGATGCTTTCCAGGTCGGTAGGTAGATGAAGGAGGTTGCTTCTTTCAGATTTCTCCCATTTATGCTGACTGTTGTCTGTTGTTGCTGTTGGCCAGGAATCTTCATCACCTCTGTTTTCTCTATGTTCACCTGGAGTCCTATCTTTGATGCTTTTTCTACCAACTTGCCGGATTATAGAACATAAAATTAATTTTGCATTGAGCAGATCTACTACACGACCTTCTCAAGAAATCAACCTACCACCGACTCTTTCCAAACTATTGACTATAACTACTGAGAAATACAGTTCACTCAGTAGATTATTTCATTGAATTAAAAAGCAATGCAATGACAGATTATTGTATGGTGTAAGATTAGCAGCTAATCGTCTCACTATATGGATTTTTTACTACACCTACTTACTGGTACTGAATTATGACCTCTCTAATTGTTATTTCATCATCATACTGATTCTTATATCCCTTTTTAAGCAGCGAATAAACTTCTTTGATTGTTTCTGAAAGTCATGCCTTTTCTAGTACTCAAAATGTTTTCACTTCTATCATCATGTCTATCATGAATACTGAAATTTTATAGGTGATTCTACCAGCAACATGATTTCTAAACCAGATTATAATTACGATCGCCATTAAATCAAATGCAAATACTGGTGCCATCAGAAACAGAAATTTCACTTTAAATTACACCGAAAGATTAAACATTTTCTGTCAAATGTAAAAAAACATTAAAGATTTATTTGTGTAGTTCATTAGTTCATTTAATCGCAGGCAAAGCTCCTTATATATTTTATTAGTTTTTAAAATACTATCACAAATATACTGCCTCATAGGGATTAATTTACCAATAGTGTATTTCAGTACGCGTTTTCAAATCAGTTTCATCAAATGCTATGCTGATGGGTAACACTTTAAATATTGTACTTATTTAGGTTTCACTGCATCAAGTACTTTCGCAACATTCTCCCCATAGGTAAATTGAATCGTGGCGATTGTTCTTTTGTTATCTAAATGTAATTACAATAATGTAAATATGAATTATGTGTCTGCTGTTCTATTTGTAAAACTGAAAATAGCCAGCTCCCAAAACCAGGATTGTGACAGTAGTTGCTAATTAGAACATTTCAAGAGAACGATACGAAAAGTTATGCACCTCCAATTAAATCAGAAAAACCACATATTATTTATTCTTCACTTAAGCTTCGGTGAGGTATAATGATTATTAAGATGCTGTAGCTTTTAACCGAGTCACAGTCAATACCTGTTAAGACATGCAATAAAAGTAAGTTGTAAAATATAGTGATGAAAAAAAAATCATTAGAACATACCGATTGAGGCATTGTTATGTAGGAATTTGAAAACCTTCTCTGTACCGATGACAAAACTTGTGACAGTTTTCCCTGGACGAAGTTTTTTGTTAGAATTTGTTACGGCTCCGCATTCAACCAGATTTATAACTCCGTCTGAGAACATTTCAGTGTGAATTCCTAAGTCACGATGCTTTGTAAGCCTTGCTAATACGGAATCTGGAATAGCTCCAATACCTAAGGAACAGAGTGAAGACAATAAGCTTTAAGTAAAACTAAGAAACTAAAAATTAAGCTGGAAGTCGGAATTAGCTTCAAAGAACCCAAAGCAGGATGTACTGGCAGAATAAAAACCAATTGGTAGTGTATCTTCTGAGCGCTGAGAAATTATTCTAGGTGGCTAACATAGACATTAGAAAACCACATATTTTGGGACAATAAGCCCTCAAACTATCTTATTTCATTGGGTTCATAGGCTAAATAATGGACAAAAAAGGAAGTGAAAACTCAGAAACATCTCCCTAAAACTAATATTTCATAAACAGCCTCCAGGGGACCTCGCCTAGCTAACTAGCTTGCTAGTTTTGTAGCCAGTCTCAAGCCCGCGAAAGGGGACGGGTTGGGTGTGGGGCTAGCAAGCCGACACCACTAAACCTATCAAACCCTAGAGAAACTTCAGTGCACAGAAAATATGTTAAAAATACAATAAATTTCAAATAACAATCTTATCCTTCTCTCGAGTCGGAGAGGCGAAATGACGTAGCGGGCTGGTGAAAGACTTCGAAAAGCCAGTCAGCCAGCCGACGTGTCTTCTCTCGATGAAAACAAGAATAAGAATGGGGACGTGGAATGTCCGTACAATATGCGAAACTGGCTGGGAAGGCTGCCCAGGAGGAGAAGATATGGCATACAAGTGCCGGGTATCTGCGAGAGCAGATAGAACCGATGTGGATTACTTAAATTGTCAACTGGAGAGTTAATAGTCTACTCCGGTCACCCAGACGACAACCACCAGCACACTGAGGCAGTGATTTGCTATAAGGATGTCACCAGTGACAGCCAAAGGCCTAGTGCAGTGGGGACCAATTCCATCCGGGATCATGACAGCAGGATTCAACTCAGTAGGCAAGAAGGAAGGTCACAATCATCGAATGCTACGCACAGTGCTACAAACAACGCGAAACAAGAGCAGAAGGAAGACTTTTTATAGACAACTACAAACAGTAATGGACAACATCCAAAATGGTGACATCAAAATCATCATGGGCGATATGAATGCCAACAGAACTAGGAGCAGATAATAAAGGAAGAGAACTCATCATGGGTCGAGAAGTTCTCACTTGGCGAAATGAATGAGAACGGAGAATTATTCGCAGACTTCTGCTCTTTCAACGATTTGGTTATCGGAGGGACCGTGTACAAACACAAGGATATACATAAAACAACATGGATTTCGCCAGACGGACATACCACAAACCAGACAGATTTCATCTCAACGCTACTCAGGGAAGTAGAGACGCAGCCAGTCTGTTGGACGCAAAGTCGAGAAGGAGAGCAGATGTGGGCTCATACTATCATCTATTTCAAGGAACCTTCAAGGTGAAGCTGAAATCTTTCAGAATAACTGAAGACAGGCCACTGTAATTCAAGTTCAACATTCAGAAACTGAAGGACGAAACTACCAGGGATGCCTTCACTACAGATCAGATCACAGTAAAGTCGGAGACACTACGTGTTATCACCGTGGAAACCTGCCTGGAAGAACAGTGGAACTAACTCTCTGAAGGCGATATTCAAGAAAACGTGTACAAATGGTCGAAGGAGAAAGGAGAGGCAAGACACGACAAGGAATGGTGCTCAACGCACACCTACCTGGAAGCTAATAGAAGCGAGGAGAGGAGGATGGTGAAAGAGAAGATGACTCAATGCCAAGATGAACAACAGAAGGAGAAGATGAGTTCAATGTACACTGCACTGAGTAAAGAAAGAAGTAAAGAAGAGTACTAGAAAAGACAAACGACAATTCTACGACATATTGGCCGGCAACTGAAGCAGAGCAGGCAGGCCACAGACAGGTGATAGAGATCTCAGGGTATAATATCAGATACTCAGGTCTCTATCCGAGAAGAGACCAACCCAGATGATGAAACCAATAAAATGTGCTCAAGGAAACCTGATTATCAAGGAGGAGAAACAAATCAAACAATGAGTTGGTCACTTTAAAGGACTCTTGAATCAACTATCACTTGCAACTCGCCCAAAAGTAACACCGACAGCACGCACAGAACTGCCTGCCAGTGAACACCAATCCTCCAAAGAAAGAACAAATCTTGAATGCGATCAAGCCACTGAACATCGACCGGGAAGGCAGCAGGACCAGACGGAATTCCTAACAACCCGAAAGCACTGCAAATGGACCCAGAGACTGAGGCAGATGCGCACACGTCATTACTGCAAACAGTTTGGAAAGAAGGAAAGGTGCCTACGGATTGGAGGAAGAGCTACCTCCTCAAGCTGCCGAGGAAGGTTAACTTAGACCTCTGCAAGAACTGTTGTGGGATTATGCCCTTGTCCGCGTCACGTAAAGTAATAATTCGCGTCATCCTGAAGAGAATAAAAGATGCACGGGATGCATAACTCCGCCCCCTCAGAACAAGCAGGATTCAGGGAAGGCAAATCGTTTGCTGATCAAATCACGCATCGTCATCGCACAAAGCATAGAATGCCAGTCAAACCTCTACTTCAACTTCATCGACTTTAAGAAGGCCTTCGACAGACACCGTTGACCGAGAAGTAATTTGGAAACTACTTCAACACTATGGTGTGCAGTGTCCCCAATTTTTATCAACCTCATCCAACAACTGGCTGTATGTCAATGACTGCCACGTGTCAGGTGATCCACAGCTGGAAACTCAGCGAGGTGTTCGAAGTGCATACAGGAGTAAGACAACATGGACGCATATTATCAACGATGATATTCTTAATTGTGGTGGACTGGATTATGTGTCACATTGTGCATTGTGAGCGAGGAGACAGGAATACACTGGACCACCGATAATAAGACTCTAGAAGATCTGGATTTCGCTGGTGATATATGTCTAATATCACACAAACTCGAAGACTTAGAGGCAGACGAATACCAACAAACTGGCAGAAGAGGCCGGCTGGCAGCGAAGACAGGACTCCAAGTGAACATAGAGAAAACGGTGATGATGAAAATAACCAACCAACAGCAACAGAAACAGCCAGCACCAATCACCGCCAATGGGAGAAATTTAACAGAAGTTACCTCCTTCATTTATCTGGCCAGGAAGCACACTTTCAACCACAGGCAACACGGATGGAGATGTGAAAGCTAGTCAGAATCGGAAAGACGAGATAAGCCTTCATCAACCTGAAAGTAGTTTGGAAATCTTGTGCACTCAGCATAGGGAAAAAGATTCGAGTTTTCAACACGAATGTCAAGTTGGTCTTTCTATAAGGGTCAGAAAGGCGGGGTGTAACGAAAATGATTTCCAACAGGTTGCAGACTTTTTTCAACAGCTGCCTGCGCTCCATACTGAAGATCAAATGTCCAGAAAGGATAAGAAACAAGAAACTCTGCAGTGGAACAAGCTAACCAACTGCCGGTCGCTCAACAAATATGTAGGAGAAAGGGGAGATGGATCGGGTGTACACTGAGATCATTGAATGACATCGCGCCAGACCACTGCTCGAGTGGAATCCAAATGGGAAGCAATGAGTGGGTCGTCGGTGCTAGGATGACATCAAGAAGATAGTGTGAGGAAGAGATCAGAGTTTGGGCAATCGTGGACCCAGCTGAAGAGGACGGCATAAAAGAGGGGAAAGTGGAAATGTGTTGTTGAAGCCCTATGTTCCAGTTGGAACCCAAGGGAACAATAATAATAATAAAACAGAAATTTATCAAGAGTTCGTAAATATTCACTAACCTGTTTGCAGAGTAGCACCATCATCGACTAGATTCTCAGCAATCAGTGCACCAATCTTTTCCTCAGCTTCAGATACTGAACGTGGCTTCATACAGTGACAAGGCATGTCACCATGAATAACAGAAGTGAAGTTGCTTATGTGTATATGGGCATCTCCAAAAGTTACTGGCAAGCTTGGATTAATTTGACCTGCAAAATCTGTTAAGAATGGGAGGATTTACCGACAAGGTACTTAGCGGATTCAACGGCACCACGGGCGACATCTACACTTGGACCGAGTGAGCAAAACCCGTTGTGGTCTGGTGGACTGATGTTCAACAATGCAGCATCCAATTTTATGATGTTTCTACGAAATAGCTGTGGGATTTCACTCAGAAAGATTGGGATATAGTCAGCTCTTCCACTTTCGATTGGCTCTCTGCAGTTGCCACCTGTGAAAATTTAACGAAGTTGTGTTGTTCTTCATACCTGTGAATAACGACACAGACCGAAGATGTCCAGCTGCTTCTGGATTGGTAATTGGAAAAGGTCCTTCTGTATGTATATGATAGGCTGATATGTTTTTAAGTTTCTTATCCATTACATACTTATAGAATTCAGAGATAAGTAGCGTTGGTGTAGCTGCACCGCCATGAATAAACACTTTGGCATCTTATTTTAAACAAAACTGATCAACGAACTAAGCGACAAACCATCTTTTAGGAAAAAGAAAGCTTCTTCTCCATTTGACGCCTGAATTGGTGAGTTTCCAACTGAGATAGCGAATGGCTGCCTCAGTTTAATTTTTTCAGTTTCACATCGTGTACTCAAATGTACTGTTGTCAAATAATTGCTTAATAAAGTGCAAAAGCGACTGTTTCTGCTGCAGACTTGGCGATAAGCTGAAAACATTTACTTCTGTGTTCAAGAAAGAGAGAAAAACTGCTGTCAGTTCTACATTTAGGAGTAAAAACAGTATCATCAATTTCAGAAAAGCAACTTCATTATTGGTGCATTGAACTGGCTATAGAATTCATACTTAGACTTTCACCAAACGGTAAACTCAGACGTGTATTTCTTGACTGGCTCTAAGAAATGCTTTTGAAAGAAGTTAGCTTATACTTGCGCATCGGCTTGATTACTTGTATACTGTTGAGTCAGACCCCCAGTGATGTCCTTCTGTCTGGTTAGACTGCACACATATTAGACTTATTTGGTAACTGTAGATTAGAAGTATAAACAGTGTCAGTGAAGATCAGTCTGCGGCTGCGGCTGCTTTAATAAATCAGACATACGTTTCTCCAGTCCTCAAATAATATGCAAGATTGAAGTTAAAAATCTTGGATGTTCGCAATCAATCACAAATTAAGGGGCATTTATAAAGACGGGTGACTTCTCTATATTTGCCAAACAGACCTTATAATGCTACTAATTATTTAGTGCCTTGGACATAGCGTATTGTTTTTAAGAGTATCTTGCTTGACTCAGATATAGAAGTTACGTTGTATCTAAAGTGTTAAACAGTCCCTGACAGCATTTGTATGTGTAGCATGTAGAAAGGAAATAAGAAAAGTGATCTGGTAGCATTAGTATTAGTTTCATCTTCACAGTGGCTGCCTGTTTAATGAATGCTAAAATAACTTAGAGCGCGAGAAGAAAGACGGAAGAATGAGGAGTTATAGTAGTGGGACATTTAACTGATTCACTCTGTTGGTGCATTCTGTATTTATTTGAATAACCAGAAAATATCAACAAATAAAGTCATTTCATTCCGTTCAATAAGTAGCTAAGAGACATCACAGTTACAATATGTCCGATAAAATATTTTGAGTGGACATCTGACTAGGTTCCAGTTACCTCACGTGGATCATAGCGTATTTAATGGCTTGTGGTGTCACTAAATAAGATTTTGTTTGGCTGTGATTATATGCTGCACTTTTTTATGAAAGATTTATTTCATGATACTGTATTCAGTCATTCAGCACATGCTTCAAAAATAGCAGCCACACCGAAAAACATTCATAAGGTACTGATTGTGCCCAGGAATAGGGTTCGGACATCCCAGGCTATTCTTTTTCTATTATTCGCGAAAGAAGCAGTAACATTATATTATCCAATAATCTGTAGCCACATGTTACCACCTGAAAAGTTTTTAATTTTTAGGCTGGATTAAATTTAAGTGGACGTTTGTACTACACGTTCAGGAGCTTAAATTAGTTGCCGTAACATGCAGTAGCAAATCTTTCATAAGAAGTAATTTTACTAGGATAAAACTCATGGCTACCAATTGCTAATGGCTGGCCTTACTAATGAAGAGAAGAATGTAGCATGTGTATGTATGGTGAATATAAGCAGCAAAATAACTAAACTCATTTATATTATTGCGGTTTTCTTCCTTTTTAATGCCGACAGAACGTCGTCATTTTACGAATAATTATTTCGTTTCTCAGAAGTGTTCTGACTGTAGTAGTGGTAAATTACAGTGGGTACGTCACTGAGGAAATATGCTGTTTGAAAATAGTCTTGATTAACTGACAGCCGTTATTTTTATCGATCATTTTATTTAATGATATAACGACTAGCTGTCCTTTTCTGAAAAAGATTTGTAGTTGGCCACTGAAGTCTGAACAAAATCAGATCCTTTTACCTTGAAGTCAGAATTCACTTGGCTATTCATGGACTCCCATGGAAGTTGGACATCACTGCAATAATACCTGTGGAAGGAAATACGTGGGAGGTTGTGGCTACTCCATCGACAGTGCCTATTATGTCCTTAATAAAGCTGCTTTACAGATTAAGCTTCTGTTGAACATGAAGCTTCAGCACGCAATTTTAAATGAAACTATTATTAGGAAAAATTGACAAAGAATGAAAGATTTCTGAAAGACATATATATACATATATATGCAGAATACTGTTATTATGTTACAGATTAACTAGTTGCGTATCACCAAGTAAGGTAGTCATTCAACTCTTTGTATTTATATTCTTAGGTAATAACAGGAAACAAACGGTTTGGAGCTAACTATCTAACACATATACATTGCTTCAAACATTTTCGATGATTTTAAAATCTACTAGTATTTCAAATAACTAATTTAAGGCAGCCAGGCATATTTAAATATGATAAGTAAAAATATTTAAGCTTTTCATCGATTATTTTTACGTCCACTTATTTGATGCACACAATAAATATCATAGAGAAAATGCATGATATAGGAAAACTGAGAAGTCAATGGAACTGATATACTGAGAAGCAACAGTTAAAACACATTTAACCACACTAATATGAAGTGGAAAGTATCACAGACATCCTAAGAAAATGACACATGAATGTCGTTATCAGTCATTGCGTAAATTTGAAAACTCCTACTCGACATATATCTGATGAGTGACATCAGTGATGTAGCTTAAGGGAAATTATTGATATTTTTCAGTATATACTGTTCTGAATTAAGACAATATATCATTCTATGAGTATATATATTACAAATTAATGATGGTATTTTCCGAGGTTTGAAATGAGTTTGTATAAATATAATATTAGGTGTGCTCTAAAAAATAACTACATTATGCATGAAAACGAAAGTATAGTATCAGTTATCGATGTCAACTGACTTATTGGTATTCGCGAACACACCTTTCGTGACCTCAAAAATTCGAAATGTTGCTTCAAATTGTACTCCAAAACTAGATGATAAAAACAAAATAGTGTACCTGCACCAGTATTATCGATCTCCCGAGAAAATCACCTGTTGTCTGCATTTCACTGGTTCATATAATTTAAGAGCAGTGTATTGTCTGAAAATGAGGGATTGTTTATTAAACAGTACCACCAAAAACTCTTTGGGGTTTAATAATTTGCCAGTCGGATTGAGATTCAGATGATTAGAGTAGTATGCTTGTGTGGACCATGTTAATCCTTGCAAAATGCATCTCTGCAGAGATCTAAGTTCTCTTTGGAAACGTTCACTGGTGGGGCTGATACTACTGAATCAGGTAAGGAGTTCTAGTCGTTGACCACTCTGTCAGAGAATCTAAATTCTGCGCGTATTTTGATCATTGTAGTTAAGAATGAGGACTGACTTAGTGGCGGGATAAGTTGACTTTAAGAAAAACTGCATCATAGGTATAGTTCCTGAGGAATCGGCAGCATCAGATCTGAACAAGGAAATATTTCGATATTAATATCACATGGAGTCGCTGACGTCTTACCATAGAGCAAGGTGGAATACGTCATGGATTTAGTTCGGTGTGTAAAATACGCACAGAAATAAACAGTTTATGGAGTAACTCTTCCAAGGAAACGTTGGTATTTTATCCAATGAAATTTTCACATTGTATCTTGCGTGCTGTTATTATGATTTCTAATAAAATCCTGAAAAAGTGATGTTTAAAGAGGAATGCTAGTCTGCGGAGGGTGAGGATCAACGTCATCGTGATATATTATTACGCAATGTATGGGTTTTCATGCTCACGCATTTAGAGGCGTTATTACAGTTCATTTTTGTGAAAATAGATTATATATGACTAGTTTTAAGCTTCTGTAGCAATATATTTCTTTACTGTGTTCGAATTAATGGGTAAAGTTGTCGTGATATCCCAGATGATTAATAACTAAAAAGATCATCCTTTGTAATAAAATTTCGCATAGAAAGACTATTTTTGCGTTTTAGAGCGTTAAAGCTTTGTTATTTGCGATTTGTTTTAGATCTTAAGGTTGTAAATTGACTACAGTCATTGGTTGTTGTCATAGCAGTTAATCTATGAGAATCGGACAATTGAAAGAGAAATTGCCCGCAGACATAAGTAAGATGTACGTTTCGAGGGTGTAAAACACTTTCATTATCATCCGTGATGATTGAAATATCCCATAACACATCAAAGAGAATATGCGATGAATGATACAAGCCGCTGAATTTCCTGGTGATTATATCTATTTTGATGAAGTTACTAGTTAAAATTGCTCAGGCGAAGATGTGATACTAGATTAATTTACATTGTCACATGGAATTTCGGAAGAGCATAATTGCTCAGTGCATAAAATGACATCATATTATGTTGATATCAGTGTACACTTGGGCAAGAACAATAGTACAGATGGCCCTTCTAAAATGTCAGACTGCTTAAAATTAGCATAAGCTTTCTGTCGAAAAGTAGCTAGCGGCTGTATCCTACAACTAATACACCTGTTACTTAAGTTATATCAGCATAATAATTGTTCATTTTCAGACCACCAAAACATTCTGAAACCCTTATGAATTGCTTGTGGCTATGAAGGATATGGAAGGTTTTAGAGGATGATGGTGTCGACGTTCGCGGATTGTACGGAGTATACTAACGCGAGAGCTTATACCAGCAACTTCTATAGTATTCGTTCCTCGTGGACCAAAGTCAAAGCAAAAGGCCAGAGTTTATCGTCCAAACTACGAGATACATTTCGGGACCAAATCGTAGACCGAGATGAATGCTTAACTGGCTAGTGATCGTGCACGAACGTGACACGACGGAGTACTAAATGGCATGGATGCTTGACCGGAAGCCTTCAGCTAAACAAGTCGACTTAAACAGTGAGGGTTAGCATCCAATGTTCAGTGATGATTGCTGTGGTCAATAATTTTCGGGAATTATTTATCGCTACAGCTCACTCCCTTCCTAGTGGGGTTGTGAGGACCCTAAGAGAGAACCAGCCGGAAGTAAGAAAACTCCATGGTTCCCCTAAGGGTGAAAAAACTCTTCCGAGCGGCTTGGTGGGGTGCCTACTGGTCTGTCTGCCTGTGCTAATGAGGTGTTTGTACATGGCTTCCTTGATGTTGTTCGTTGGATCTCGTGCTTCGTTTGTTCCTTGTCCTGTGCCCATCGCACCTGGAAAAGAAAACAAGAATGCTAAGAACCTTGTTGAGGAAAATGCATCAAATCAAAAAATGATGTGCATCTACCATACAGTAAAATAATGCAAAGCATAGAACATCGAAAAAAATATACATCAAGTTTTTTGAGTGCATGTAACATGTGCAGTTATAGGAAAAAATCTTTTACTTGTGTTAAGTGATGCTACATAAAAAGTTGATGTGTCTGAAAAGAAGAAATAATAATTAATACCACGAACGAATGAGTTGGATGAATCGCACCATTTAGTTATGTGATATAGGTGTGAAGGTATTGTTTCGTACAGAACCCCTTTCCTTTGAGGGTTCGACAGAAGGTTCGGTGGCTTTGGCCGTGCTAGTGATTTCTTCGAGGACTAAGGTATATTCTGTTACTTGTGTATTATTGGGAATGCTCGGCTCTAGGCTAATAGGATTGCCTTCCAAGTAAGCTGGTTTCAGACGGTCGATGCTGACGGTGTCTTCGCGGCCTTTTTACTTGAAGACAAACAATCTATCCATACGTTTAATGACTTTATATGGTCCGTCGTATGGGGTTTCCAGAGGTCGGAGCACAGAGTCACGACGAACAAATACATGTGAAGAAGTTTTCAAACACGGGTGAATAAAGACTTCTATCGACTGTGGTCGACGGGGAGCAGGTTTAACTGAACGCATTGCGTTTGTAAGCCTGCTGACGTAGGAGGCGTGATCTACCGCTGGTGGGTAGCTCGAGGGAGAAACAAAGTCACTTGGCATTCGTAGTGTCGTGCCATATACTAGCTCAGCGGTAGAACAACCAGCATCGGTTTTTAAGGCGTTTCGTATCCCTTGGAGAACTAACAAAAGAGATTCAGTATTGTTCGCAGCTGATAAACCAGCTTACAACTGTCTGTGTAGACGTTCTGCCATACCATTAGCTTGAGGACGGTAGGCTGTTGTTCGAAAACGCATGCAACCTATGATTTTAGTCAGGGCGAAGAATAACCCGCTTTCGAATTGCCGCCCGCGATCACTTGTTACGGAAGATGGGCATCCAAAGTTTGCGATCCATTTTTCTACAAAGACGAGTGCGACGGTTTCAGCAGATACATCCTTGAAGAGTACGGCTTCAGGCCATCGTGTGAAACGATCAATGCAGGTTAAAATATAAGTATATCCATGGTGGTGGCGCAGTGGTTAGGACTGTCGCCGACCATGCACATGGTCCGGGGTTCGTTCTCCTACCGAGGCACACCTGACATCAATTTTAACCTCGCCTAGATTACTAGCTCACTAGTATTCTAGCCGGTCCCAAGCCCGGATAGAGACAGAGGGTTGGGGCGTGGTGCTAGCAACTCCACATGCAAAATTTAACCAAATCATACAGAAACTTCAACGCACAAATATATTAAAATGTCTAAAAATATAAACAATAACCTTATTTTTCGCTGGAATCGGGAAAGTGAAATGACGCAGGCCGGTGAAAGCCTTCGGGAAGCCAGTCAGCCGATGTGCCTTCTTTCGATGAAAGCAAAAATAAGGATGGGGACGTGGAATATTCGTACAATGTACGAAACTGGAACGGCTGCTCAGGTAGCCGCAGAAATGAGGAGGTATAAAACAGAAGTGCTGGGAATCTGCGAGAGCAGATGGAACGTATATGGAAGGAGCCAAGTACCAACTGGAGAGACAATAATCTACTCCGGTCACCCAGAGGACGATCACGAGCACACCGAGGGAGTAGCCATCATGATGTCACCAACAGCAGCTAAAGCTCTCATGCAGTGGGAACCAATGTCCTCCAGGATAATGACAGCCAGGTTCAACTAAAGAGAAAGGAAGGTTACAATCATTCAATGCTATGCACCTACAAACGTCTCAGAACATGAGAAGAAGGAGGATTTCTACAGACAACTACAAACAGTAATGGACAACGTCCCAAAGAGCGATATCAAAATCCTGATGGGTGATATGAATGCGAAACTGGGAGGAGACAATACAGGAAGAGAACTCACTATGGGTCGCGAGGTCCTCGGTGAAATGAACGAAAATGGTGAACTCTTCTCAGACCTCTGCGCCTTCAATGATTTGGTGATTGGTGACAATGTGTTCAAACACAGGGATATACACAAGGCGACATGGATTTCACCAGATGGACACACCAAAAACCAGACAGATTTCATTTCAATCTCAGGGAAGTGGAGGCGGAGCCTAGTGGACACAAGATCGAGGAGAGGAGCAGATGTGGGTTCAGACCACCATCTAGTACAAGGGACCTTCAAGGTGAAGCTGAAAGCCTCGAGGATACCTGGGGATAGACCACAATGCAAGTTCAACGCGCAAAAACTGAAGGAGACAACCACAAAGGACATTTTCACTGCAACTATCAAGGTAAAGCAGGTAAAACTACGTGACATCATGGAAGTATCACTGTGGAAGACCATTGGAACTCTCTGAAGGTGATTTTCAACGAAACGTGTTCAACGGTTTTAGGAAGAAAGAAGAGACAAGGCAAGGAATGGCTCTCAACGGACACTTGGAAGCTAACAGAGGAGAGGAGAATGGCGAAGGAGAAAATGCTTCAATGCAAAGATGGACAAGAGAAAGAGACGCTGAGCTCAACTTACACAGCACTGGACAAAGAAGTGAAGAAGAGTTCCAGGAAGGACAAAAGACAACTCTACGACAATCTGGCCACTGAAGCTGAGAAGGCAGCACGCGAAAGGGACCTGAGGACATTATATCAGATAATACAGCGCCAATCACTATCAACAGAAGGGGTTTGAAAGAGGT